ATAGTTATTAAATCGTGACTTTATCCACACTCGATTTCTCTCGTACGTAGATAACAAAAATCATACTCTACTACAGTGGTATTCAACCTTTTTTGTTCGCGTACCCCCAGATGTAATTTCTCTTCAACTTTGTACCCCCAAAGTTGTTAGTGTATAATTCAAATTATACACAGTATATAATCTACATCTAAAATAAATTAAATAAATTACATTACTGATTATTTGGTATTTATCATAAAATAATATATATATTTAAATTTCACGTACCCACAAAGATGTCTTCGCGTACCCCCGGGGGTACGCGTACCTCAGGTTGAATATCACTGCTCTAGTAGATGTACATTATGACAGCAGACAAAATCGAGTTTTCTGTAGCAGAAATTCATCGTCCACTATAAATATTCAGACTTTTCATCCCGAAGACAAGTCAGACACTATTCAAGCTACTGTTCAATTAATTTGTGTTGCCCTCTGAGGGCAATGGACGTAGGGTAATAGCGGCTAAGAACAGTGAGTTACTCAGTCGTTCGGGGAAAATAAGCCAATGACACGAAGCTACATATCTGCTAGAACACGACTGTTATGAGATCGTACGGATGTAATACCACGTTTAGAAACTACACATTAACTGGTTTCTAGTAATTTTACATGATTCTAAAATGTGGCCAAGTTTGTTTTATTATTACGAACGAATGTTTTTGATCGCTAGTATCACTGTACTGAATAGTCTACACTCTTGCAAGCAGCCATCAGCAGAACCACACACAGTGGCTGTGACATTAAACTTAATGGAGTTTTATGCACAGTCGCAACACGACCACCACAAAATAACAGGACAGTAGCTTCCTCGGTACCAATTACGCATGATCCAAAAATACCAGAAATAAATAACAAACAATGGGGTTTAATATAGTATAATAATATAAAACAGGAAGTAAGTACTTTAAGATTTCCATCTATGTGACCATGTCCTAGCGGATTCACTTTCCCATCTTGCAGCAACGCTAGAAAACAGAGTCATCTCGACTAATGTTGCATAATAGCAGCTCAAATGTCCTTCACGCCAGACGAAGGAAACTTCTTCATCTTATCAGCTGACCAGTTAAAATGTAATTTTGCAACTTCTGTTAGAACAATGCTAAGCCTAGACATAATTACGAAGACGGTACTGTGCAAATCGAAGCCTGTCACCATATGTCTCATGAAAAACCTACCTTGTCTTAATGCCAACATTATTAAATAAAATTTACATTCACGAATAAGTTATACTATCATATCGATGTTTTACGTGATAACTTAACAGATTATTACAAGAAGCAACACTGTCTTGCTGTTATTCAGTCGATGTTCCAGGAAAATTATTTTAGGAAATATGGTCTAGTACCACTGTTCAACACACATTCCGCCAAAACTGACCATTTAAATTAGACTTCGCCTGTTTTTGTGAGGTTCAAACATGACTTTGATTCCTATTTACAGAATCTATACTGTAAAATCAGTTGCCACATGTAACTAACAAATTTTATAGTTGAAAATTTTAAGAAATCATATTTCTTGTATATCAGAAGAATAAGATAACATGGCGACAAAGCTGAGTAAATATTATTGTTATTGTTTACGTTGTATAATTATGTATACATAAATTATGCTTATCAAATGACTGTAAAATTTTGAAATATACTTTAAATATACCAAACACGTACATAAACATATTATGTCCGTTGTCCTTTTAGTAAACTACTAAGTCTTTCAACTGTAGCTAACGCCTACAGAAAGGGAGGACGTCTCAGAGTCGTCAAAGTATGCCAATGGGTTAAGCATAATAAGCTTTGTTGTCATTGTTACGAAAATGTTAAAAATGACAAGCAACTTTCTTATTTTCTCAATATTTCATTTCTTGTTGTAAACTTGACACTCAGAAACTGCGATTAGGAACAGTCCTGAATGCTACCTGTGTATTATGCTGAAATATGTTGAGTAGGAATTCTTAATTTGAATGATATTTTAATTAGTTAACAATTATAGAAAGTAGGCAACCAGTCGGCACGTTTCACCTCTAACCTTCTTCACGTGGTGGCGTAAGAGACTACGCCCATGACAGCCGTGAAGACTTTCATCGTCTGATGACACGAAGAAACGGGAATTTAGTCTGATAATGTCCCAACACTGTGTTATTATACAAGCAGGCATACTGACTGAATAACGTCTCTCATATTTGAAAGGTTTCCGGTTAGATTTCCGACTAAAAAGACGACGGACGACGTTAAAATATGCCAACACTTTCTCCCATACGTATTCTGATTTATACGAGTATTTTGCTCAGCGCTACGTAATTTAAGAACTTCATGAACTGTGGTAAAATAAATTAATATCAAAGAACAAACAGGCAGAGATGTTTTCTTGCGTGTTCCTTGTGTGAAATATCTTTGTCTGTCCGTAACTTGCATCACCGATTATATTGAACTAATTTGTATAGAAATTAATATTCCTGGTCTACAAAAATTGTTGAGTCTGGTTCGAATTGGGCTAATATAACATTTGTTTTATTTTACATGAAGCTACGACAAACCTTTATTAACTTTCTTTATCACATGAAAGAATTTTACATTATATATATATATATATATAAGGCTACATCTCTTTAAGATCTATAACATTTATTTGATGAAGTTTTTTCGGTGTGATAAATATTTAGCAAAATACAATGAAGAAAGTCTGACTGTATTCTCTACGACATCTGTAGTGAGCTTTAACTTTGTAACTAGGAATTTGTATCTGCAATAGACATATTTGGAATAAATGTCTATCAAGAACAACGAAGTATCGACAGAGAAGATAGATAGATAGATAGATAGAGAGAGAGAGAGAAAATAGCCAATCCACAACCTCAGGCTCTAATACTGCAATATCAATTTAATTTTTTTTCCTCTTATCTGCGCCTTTGTCTTCCTAGTGCCGTCTTCTCTTCAGGCTAATGAATAAAATTTTGTGAGCATTTGTCATGTCACATTCGTGCAACATGTCCCGACCATATTATCCTCCTTGATTTGATCACCCAAAGAACAGGCCTGGATATAAATTATGACACTCGTTACACGAGTCGTTAAAACAGAAATGTGCTGGATTCAAAAGAGAGAGAAAATGTTCAGTGTCGGAATAACTTTGCTGTATCAACAACTATCCTTGTGGATGATGTAAACTTCCCGCGTAGCTGTTTCTGTGTCTGATTCCGAAGGCTGCGTCCATAGACACAGAATGCAAATCATTTGGAGCACTAGCTTGAGGTTTTAAAAACTACCCAACTATTTCTCAAGTAGATAAGGATTTGAAAAGAAAAGCTATATACTCTGTTTCACAAAAGGTCCTGGCTTGGGGTTTGAATTGGGTATTCCTGACCGCAAGCCTAGAATGTTACAGTTGCATACCACCTGAGAATCAAACGTACAAATTTCTGTCATTTTATTAAGATTGAAACAATGAAAATGTGTTATTCTTGCTTGTCTCTCACAGTCCGCCGCTAATTCAATGTCAGTAAATAATACTGTATTAAGAAGGCGAATGGGATGTACGGACAGAATCCCATAAACTAATATTTAACTTCTCGTTCCAGCCGTCTTTACTCCGGGTAACCCTTGGAAATGAACCTGGGTTGGCTTCAGAGATAATTTGGATGTTGCGATTAAAATTTATTGCCGGCCTCCCTACTGGAAATCGAACATTGCCGAAACGTCAGAAGCCTGTCTCTATCACGACTCAGTTCCTGCTTCTGGTACAGACCTACAACTTTATAAAAACTTAACAAGGCCGGAACAAGGAAATAACTGCAAGCGTACAACAATTAAATACCTTTTCTGCATCTAGCATACTTTCCACATCTTCATTAAAAGCATGTTGCAATGGGCATTTTTTCAGCATCTTTCTGTAATATTTTCCTTTTGTTGCTAGTGAAACTAATTTTTTATTGTGGTGATACTATGTCAAATGACCCAACATCGCCATTTAGGGCTTCACGAAAGTATTTGACGCCTTAGGCGGACCTTAAACCGTGATCCTCTCCTAATTACTTCCGAAAATAAATATTATGCTTTACTTTCAATAATGTAAGATTTAGTTTATATGATAAAGGAGAATAATATAATACTCAATTACAATATCACTGTTCTACACTTTACACAAAACACGTACTGAAAGAAACACAAGTTAAAATTTAGAACCTCTAAAGAAAGCGTATACAAACAAAAAATAAAGATAACAAAAGCAAAACGAACCTTTTAGCACAAGACCTGTCGTGCAACTGCCGATGTTGACTCTGACTAAACGTACCCATTGACGATGCATTATGTCAAGAAACGTATCGAATGCTCACATTGTCGACTTCACTGAACATCAACCGATTATACAACATACCAAGTATTCATGGCTGCATGTTACATGGCCGCTAAAGCGGAAAAGATTTTCATTCTGTTTTAGAAGTTTATTACATTCTATTTTACTCAGTTTTATTTTTTCGTTTTTTTTACAGCATCACTTACCACAGTATTGCTGCCATAAACTACCGGCTAGTTTGCGTGCTGTTTAAACCTAGTGTCGTCATTACTAAACTTAACGTGTACCATGCTAAATTGTTAACAACAGCTTAGGGTTTGTAAACACGACGCACTCAAATGAACAAAGTAATTTTGTTGTTGAATTTTTAATAAATGGCTTACTGTAAAAATGCATTTATAGAAAAAAATTCGAATGGCAGGGTCTCAACCAAATCTCTTAAACTCAAAGAGGCGTACAATTCTTAGCAATTTTTTGACAATATTTAAAATTTATGTTTTAAACTTGGAAGAAATAAATAAATTTTCATTTACACACAAAATAGCAAAATTATAATTTTTATGACTAATAGAATCCCGTGAGAACACAAATAGAAACCTAGGTTATGTAATACTTCTATGGCAGGAACTGGAGACTAAAATTATGTTTCCAGTGTAAGAAACAACGTGACTCACCTTTTATAGGCACACATATTTGTATCCTAAAACGTTTCACAACACATTCATCATAAAACTCGGCAGAAATGTAAATGTCACTCCCAAACACAGGCACAGGTACGCCCACCTTCCTAATCAGTTGCCGCTCATAGCACGCGATTGACGATCTCTTTTGTTTTGTTTTTTCCCCGAAACAAAACACAAACGGCCAGCGAGTGCAATTGAAGATGTAGGTGGCAGTGGACTGACTAGCCGCGTGACCTCTTTCACTGTTCCCACCGGCTGGATAAGATTCTGCGTTACATTATGCAGTCTTCTTCTTTAGTACTTTAAGATCTGCCCCCCTCTTCCACGACTATAACCAAGGTATGGATAGTCACGTGACATGATGCATCGGCCTCCTTTCCTCATGGTTCCTCATCCATTCTCTTTAGACGCTTAACCTCACGAAGCAAATATCAGCTGAGAAACCTGACCAGACATAATTTTATTTAGGTAACATGAAGTTCTAGTTAGAATGTATGGACGTCCAGTTCAAATTAATTACACCTACGCAATTTAACCATCCATTTTTGCTGATTATTTCAGAACGAGCAGCAATTGTCTCATAGACTAAATCTCAACATTTCGCGTCTACAAAGACATTGATTAAAATACATAAAACTCAATTGTTCCTTGCTTTGTGTGAAATTAAGTTCATAATTTGTTCTCTTTACCAAATACTATCAGACCAAGAATGGGCGAGAAACACAAAGAAAGTAACTACAACAAATTATTACGTTATGTGGATGTGGTTGTCGTACTGAAAATGTCGACGTTGGTATTCTGGGTAGCAACCCTGTATGGACTTGTAGCTGAATACCGCCTCCATCTTCAGGACTGTCCAGCCCTAAAGATTGAGGCAGTATGCTCCTACGAAACGTTGGTATTGGCCTACAAATCCACACAGCTTTATTGCCCAGAATACCAATATTGACAAACCATTACGCTATTATGACTACATTATGAACTTAACCTGCTAAGTTTTAGTCCGTACTTCTCGGTCCATCTACAGTTCTAGAAGCCATGGGGATGACAAAGGCTCCGATGTGTCAACACTTCAACAAATGGCAAAAAAGAATGTGTGACTAGCTGTCGCTTTGTGTCACGAATGTTTATTTATCTTTATAAAATTGTTAGCGATGGTCGGGGCAGAACCCAGGACTTATTAATACTAGGTTAGTATGTCAACTTCTAGACCACCGAAGCAACCGAGAAACAATGGTTATTTTGGCAAAAGTTGGCATGTCACGTGACTGATTCCCACTAGGAATTAGTTCATAAAATATGAAGCCTTGCACAATTTAATAGAACTCCTTCTACAGAGAATAGGCATACGGTAAGGTAAAAGTACATTATTCGCTATTTTTTTCAGAACACTGCCTAATCCTGAAGAGAAATCATTAACTTATTACAATAATGTCAGCCAAAGATTATATACCTCTAGCAACTGTCATGTCATTGTATTAGGTAAGGTGACAGCCTAAAAGAAGTAACTTGACTGCTGATTTGTTGTCACACCAGGGAAAGTTTTATAGTATTGGTTAATTTGAAGAAAGGTGTGGCCCTCACTGAACATCCATTATTATGAACAAGCCTGGCGTCATAAGGAGGTCAGTCAAATACCTGGCGTTTTTGTACAAGCAAACTAAGCAGACTGCACTGGCCCACTATATATAGAAATAACTGTGTCTCCGTTCAAAACTGGTACACTGCCCATTTATTTCGACTCCGAAACCTATTAATCGATTTAGATTAAATTTGTTGTGGGGCAGCCACTACTGTATAATTTGCTAGTGGAATTTATGTTAAGCCCATACCGTTCCACATAAACTCATATTTAACAAAAACCTCAATCTAAATGTATCAGAACGTTCGAAAGAAACATATTTCACACTTCATGCTAGAGAGTCCTTGAGAAACTAACAGTCGATCAGAGGTTTGTTACTTGTAACTGTCCATCCGTACTTACCACAACACTTTCATCTTATCCCTACTGCAGATTCGTTTCGACGTCTTAAGTAGTCTTCAATGCCAGTGGTACTACTTGTGTTACTGGGATGACCAAAGAATTTAGGGCGAGAGCGTATCGATAAATTTCATTGATTGTGATCAACATGGCAGTTCCTACCGAACCTGCAATGCTTGCGGAAGTAGTCAACCGACTTCAAACACTAGAAACTATGGCATTTTAAAAACTTTATAAGTATAAAGTATATTTGATATCAACTCTACGTCTTGAGGGACAATTTTGTTAAAAATATATTCACATGTACAGACCTACTTATTTTGAATTTATTTTTAATTTGATTCTACAATCCTGTGTGCAATAAACTTATTTCAAATATAAAGAATTTGTTTAAAAATAATTGTTGTTTATACAATCCGAGGACAAAAATACAGAATGATCGGAATTAAACCAGCTTGCCCTATTTGTCGCACCTCCTAAATATTTTCTTAGATCTTTACACGAAAACTGCAGTTTTTTATTGTCGTATTGTAACAATAAAATGAGTCGTGTGCAATGTTCTGTATCACGTTTCAATGCAAAGTTATATAAGGTACCTTTTTCATTCATAGGAACTGAAATTTGAAGGCACTTCCCATAAAATGCTAGATAAATATTTTGAATATATCTCGTAACGAAACATCACATCTCGGCCAGTTTTATTAAAAAAAATAGAAATACCAGCCTTAAAATTATATTTTGCTCGCAAATGTCAAGGTCTGGATTTTTAAACTGCGACCTTCAGGACCATAAATAGTTGGAGCTAAGAGATGTGACACAGCAAACTGCTCAATGCCAGAAAAGCAAAAACCCGCATTTTTGTAACATTGTCTGTCTTAAGAGAACACTAAAAACCTGGACTGAAAGAGTTTGAGTATTTGAAACTTATAAATGAAATTAATTAACTAGCTTAATTAACCAGCTGCATTACGAGGGCTGGCCTTGTAATCCTGGGGTCTCGGGTTCGATTCCCGGCGGTGCCCGAATTTATAACTTGTGTTGGGCAAGGCCGTGGTCTAGGCAACACGGAGTTTCCTCCGTGGCATCCCAACAATTACTCCATTCACACACAGAAGAAGGCAATGGCAAACCACTTCTGGATCATCTGCCAAGAACGTATATGAACAGGTCCCAGCCCGAGAAAAGGATGGAAGGAGGGCGCAACTTGAAAAAATGGCTGTTGCTCACCTGGTCAAGAAATTGGAGGCCCTGTATAGAATCCGAAGGTCCGTTACCGTGTACACAAAAGTCAGCCGTTCGACCCTATCCTGAACCACTTCTTTAAGATCGATGTAACATCTTACAAGTCTGGTTTAGGATATCTTCCCGTGTACCTCTTCAAAGTGGAATGTTCCCTTTAGGTTTTCCGTCTAAGTTGTTAATGCATTTTGTATCTCTCCTACGCGCGCTGCAATTGAGCAGCAATTTCATTGCTTCTTTCGAAGTAGTGTTCTTCATCTTTCAAGACCGCCTTTCCGACGACCAGGCAGCAGAGGGTTAAATATGATGACAATTTCATAACATTTTATGACAATTTATTAAAAATGCTTCTTACAGTTAGAATCAGGTTAACATAACTTATTGGGGTCATTGTATATTTTTCTGAAACAAAACCAGTAATAACTGAAATTCTTGAAACTGCTTCTCTCAACTTCTTTCCTTAATTATTCTTCAATGTCAGATTCATTTTATCTTATTGCGGTTCATCGATATGCAATCATCAGCTTTCAAACGGAGTTTAAAATGTTAAAATTCTTGATGCATTTTAAGAATAATTGAACATTTTCCAGCAATTAACAATATATCGGTAATATGAAGACCGAAATCGTAGCAAATAACAATAAATGATGTATGCCACAACTGGTTAGTTGCACTGCGCACGAGCCATGAGCGCAACTTTCTGTGCGCGCTGAACCACTTCTGGACAGCGCTTCTTACGCACAAGACGGCAGTCCTGGAAGAATCCTTCGTTCCTGGGAAAACCATGACTGTTGTCGCTGAAGGTCACTAGACCTACACATAACACAGAAGGGTATTAAGAATAAGTATGAAGCATAATTACTGTTGTATTCAAACAGGAAAGCGATCGAGTAGCGGACGAAGTTGATTACGTTGTTGCCGTATCTTTCGCTTTAAGTTGACCGTCTTAAACACCGGCACAACATGCGATTTGGCCAAAAATAATTCGAATAACAATTATTTCTGGAAGTCTATCACAAACGGTCGAAACAGTCATTACTCCAACATGTCCACTGTCCATATGAACAATTCCTGTCATCTCTTTTCTACTATCGACTTTGCACTCGCAGCGTGGCTCTAAAAACTGTTCATACTCGTACTATCGATAAATACTTCGACGAATTCTGCTTTTTCCTGTCTGTGGCGCCATTTTGTTTCTAGAGTACAGCAATAACAGTAATAATTAACTGACGCACTGCCACGTCAGAATTTTTCATATGAGATAATGTGTAGTGATATCGTGAACATGTAAAGTTATGTGTATAATTATGAAATACCCAGTATGTACATAAATACACAGTGTAGAATTAATAATGCAGCGTAACAACAAAAAGGAGTAGAAGACAGATGCGAGTTAATTTCGTAACACTTCTGGAATTTTTGAGTGGCCATATCCAATGATCCATGTTTACACAAACTTTTTCTTTCCTTTTGTGCACAGAAAAAGTCTCTAAAGTTGTGGCATGGACTCCATGAATACCATGTATATCCCTGCTATTGCTTGACTCTGTTAAAAAGAAGTTCATATTTACAGTAATTGAACATGAATAGGTCTACTGTGAACTAAGAAATGGAGTTAGCCTGTACACATTTCGTCTTACGTTCAGATCATTTTTGGGATAAAAACTTGTTGAAATGCACTTCTGTCAAAGTTCTGTTTGACTGATCCTGCAAGCGTCTGACATAATCTACATAGATACTTCTTATCGAAGTTCGAAAAAAGACGCACTTACCAAGACCCCAGATACGACCACCACGAAATTCTCCCTCATACTTCATGCCATCGGATCTCCAGAAGACACCATGTCCGTGGAACCATCCCTGCATAAACTCGCCCTCGTACCTATGACAAAGGGTACACTCAATGCCATCTTTCACAGAACCTGTCTTTTGTGACTGAAAAGGACTGAAGAGAAAAGTAAAAGCTATGAAAGTAGCTCTCGATGTCGGTGGCTAATAAACGCACACAAGAAACAGTCATATGGACGAGCAACACGAGAATTAAGTCAAGGACTGGCAGAATGTTCTGCAGAGAGTAGCGGCCATCGTTCAATTTTTGGCAGAACTAGTGGGAGCAGTTAGACTGTCCAGTGGTGTGATTAATATTTTTTGTCTATAACATGATAATAGTATTTTTTCAGTATAAAAGTCTACGTTCATATTCGTTGACCTGGGTAGCTAAAATGTCGAATTCTGTCAGTATGAAGAGACGCCGACCTTCCACTTGGTCTCTGGCTTCAAAACACCTTAATCCGTGCCTGCCCTACTTCCTGGAGTACGGAGTTGGTTGTGATAAATGAAAACGTATTCTATGTAATGAAATAGCTAAATATTGTGCCCAGTGGATAACTCTGTTATGAGCAGTGTTGAATGCATTGAATGTGTTAGCGAGTTAAGTAGGTAGGTAGCCGAAGGTATCCATATTTGGCCACAGAATGCCACATAGTCAAGTATGTAAATTGACAGCTAAAGGTGTCTAATACGTAGCCTTTGTCAGTAAGTCATTCAGTAGGTAGGCAATTGAAAGTGTTCAAGAATAGTCCCAGTCAGCCAGGATAGGTAAAGGTTATATAATTGGCCGTAGTCAGTCAGAAAGGCAGCTGAAGGTGCTCATACTTGGCCCCATCGCAAAAGCACATGACGCCGAGACCAGAGCAGAGCCCGTTCTGGAAGGAACCATCGTATCGCGTGCCGTCGGGCAGAGAGAGATGCCCCATTCCATGCTTCTGACCCCGCTGGTTCCAATCGCCCACATATCGCGTCCCGTCCTCGTAGCGGTAAGCACCAGTTTTCACCACGCCTTGCAGCACTGTAACAATACTAACATCTGCAACCTTGGCGGTCCAATGGACTACTTGAAAGAGACACCGGAACAATATCTCTTGAAAAGAATCAGTAGCAAGCATTCTCCGAATTTGACATACTCTTAATTCTTCATTAAATCAAATTTGATTTGTTACTATCATTCTCCAGTAGTCGTGTTTCAACCTGCCACATTGTCCTACATTCAAGCAACAAGATATGGTTATGTAGTTTTCTCTGCTATTACTTCCAAGTAAATCTTCTTACTAGCACCACATACGGTATATGTGCTCTTCACATTATACATCTTTTCCACCGATAAATTAATATAATAAGCATAGAATAGAAGCAGCAGATACTGTCACTAAAAATTAAATTGCAGATGTACGAGGGTCGCTCATTAAGTAATGCCCCACATTTTTTTTCTCAGCCAATAATGAAGATAGAAAAGTGCACTTTTACATGCTTGAGATTTGATGTTTCCCGCGTTCGTGTACGGAGTTTCAAATTCGTTGACCTGGGTAGCTAAAATGTCGAATTCTGTCAGTATGAAGAGACGCCGACCTTCCACTTGGTCTCTGGCTTCAAAACACCTTAATCCGTGCCTGCCCTACTTCCTGGAGTACGGAGTTGGTTGTGATAAATGAAAACGTATTCTATGTAATGAAATAGCTAAATATTGTGCCCAGTGGATAACTCTGTTATGAGCAGTGTTGAATGCATTGAATGTGTTAGCGAGTTAAGTAGGTAGGTAGCCGAAGGTATCCATATTTGGCCACAGAATGCCACATAGTCAAGTATGTAAATTGACAGCTAAAGGTGTCTAATACGTAGCCTTTGTCAGTAAGTCATTCAGTAGGTAGGCAATTGAAAGTGTTCAAGAATAGTCCCAGTCAGCCAGGATAGGTAAAGGTTATATAATTGGCCGTAGTCAGTCAGAAAGGCAGCTGAAGGTGCTCATACTTGGCCCCATCGCAAAAGCACATGACGCCGAGACCAGAGCAGAGCCCGTTCTGGAAGGAACCATCGTATCGCGTGCCGTCGGGCAGAGAGAGATGCCCCATTCCATGCTTCTGACCCCGCTGGTTCCAATCGCCCACATATCGCGTCCCGTCCTCGTAGCGGTAAGCACCAGTTTTCACCACGCCTTGCAGCACTGTAACAATACTAACATCTGCAACCTTGGCGGTCCAATGGACTACTTGAAAGAGACACCGGAACAATATCTCTTGAAAAGAATCAGTAGCAAGCATTCTCCGAATTTGACATACTCTTAATTCTTCATTAAATCAAATTTGATTTGTTACTATCATTCTCCAGTAGTCGTGTTTCAACCTGCCACATTGTCCTACATTCAAGCAACAAGATATGGTTATGTAGTTTTCTCTGCTATTACTTCCAAGTAAATCTTCTTACTAGCACCACATACGGTATATGTGCTCTTCACATTATACATCTTTTCCACCGATAAATTAATATAATAAGCATAGAATAGAAGCAGCAGATACTGTCACTAAAAATTAAAGTTTTACTATTGCTGCATGTTAGTTTGAAATGACGCCAATAAAAACAGCAAATAAATGCACTGGACATACCTAACAAATACGATATATACTAATTCCATAATATAAAGAACAGGTCTATCACAAGCATTTTTGCTTTATATTGGATATTTTTGGTTCCTCTACAAGAAATTTCCCTTCCACCTACTGCAAAAAAGAGTTTTTCTGTTGCTATGTTATTGAACATGAAAATATATTTTGTTGCCTATACGCATTTATTTTGTCTCCGCCTTGTGGTTTAGTTAAAAAGGAGCTCGAAAATTATAAACTGATTTACTCTGTGACCTGAATTATAGATTTAAAAAAATTATTTACTTCCTTAAAGAGACATGTAAAAATAAACATGTTAGTCTTCCATCTTGTTCTGATTTAAGGTTAGAAAGCACATACTTTTAGGTATTCCGAAATTGATGTTACAAATGTAATAATTTCCATGGCACAGATAATTTGGATTTAAGCCCACTGCAAAATTGTAAACAGCATAAGATAATTAGATGATTTTGGCTACAAGATAAGAGTTTTGAAATAAAGAAATCAGGACACCATTATAGCTTCTCCCTATGTGTGATTCTACAAAGGACAAGCAATGGGTTTACCTTTGTGTACTTACCAGTGTCCATTGTAGGGCAGCGTCTCTCAGAATGGCTACGATCATCTCACATATTTAGAGCTGAAGCCATACAACTTCCTTTATCCCATTACTGCACTCATTTGGCTTCCTTTCATAATTATTCTGCCCTGATACACTGAATGACAGGATAATATATTGAAAAGACTATGGAAGGAAGTGGTCACAGCCCAATTTAAGGTACTATAACAGGTAAGATCTGAGTAAAGGGCTTATAATACCTTACATTGTTTGTAAAAGTCTCAAAAAAAATACTGCCTCAGTCTTCAGTGTACAAGTGACACTGCATCTTACATGAAATAAATGCCACTGCCAAATATTTATAAGGATGATCCAAATATTAATTTGTCGAATTTCAGTTAGGTTACGATCACTCTTCATTTGGCCCATTCAGAAACACGCTGAAATTCATGACTGTCATGAGCCTCATTTCTTGGTCTTATCGAATTGTTCCACCTTCAAAGTTTGTATTCAGGATAGGTATATTTATTTTAATGAGGTCTTCTGGTGTATACAGATAAACTCTTTATGTTAGTCTATGAATAACCTTGTAGTACGTAACAGATCTTTTACTTTGAACACATTACGAGTATCCTGTACAGCAAGACTGTTTATGACACAGCAATAATCTAAGCTATCAGTCAAGACCATTATTTAAAACAATCCAAAATGTAAGGTTCCTCTTCCACTAGAGTTGATGACCACCGTCGAAGACTTACCTGATGGATGTCTCTGTCGACTTTTATTAAGTTATCCGTAGACCAGTTGTTAAATTAAATAATTAAAATGTAACTCAATGTTAAAGAGTCTACATTCAGAGACATAACTTTTCAGCAAAACAGTAGTTTCCTGGCACAGAACTTACGTGTTCATGCCCCTATTCTCAGACGTCCTTGCAAATGAGCAAACTTAATCCACTTCATACCTTCATTAAATATTTCTGACATGATAATTCTAATATTAATCCTCTTCTACAAAACTATCACTTTAGACAAAGTTTTAAAACCAGTGACAAGAATTTTCTTGTTGATTACTCTTAAGAGTTCTAATGGTTTAGCACTGAGTTTATAAGAAGAAGAAGATATCTCCTAGTATGTAAAATAAAGTGCTCAGAATATTCATGTATATTTCACAGATTCCTCACATTTACAGTATTTAATTTGAAGAAAGTACATTTAAAATTAAAGTTCCAAACTGCATCCATAACTCCAAATTACTGCTTCCATAACCTGTACAAGAAACACACAATTTCGAATTGTTAACAGTAATCAAAGGAATAGCCTTGTTTAATTTACAACTCCAAATACATAAACACAAATCAAAAGTTTCAATATGTTGAGTTCTGTATATTTGAAATTCATATTATCACAAAAATTTGTGATTACAGCAGAACAGACTTCTTGCATTAGTACTTACTTTGACAATTCAATAATCCTCTCAGCTTCCCGCCAACCTGACTCAATGGCTCCATGGACAGTTGAATAATGAGAGGTATGAGTTGCCTCACCTGCAAACAGCAGCACCTAATGGATCAGAGAATTTTATTTTGCACTTTACTGATTGGCCATTAAATCAAGAATTTAAAACATAGCACACATAAGGAAGCCAAGGTACAAATGCAGTATTTTGGTGGAAAAATCTCATGGAGAATGGCAGAAAAACTGAAATAAATTATTAATTAACAAGTTTAAATCAACTATATTTCCATTGTGTATATTACATAATTTATAGGTTATTTAATTATGCTTTCCACCTGCACTATTAAATAAAATATAAAAACTAATATGAATGTTGCTGTTCAGAATATAAGGAAACATAGTAACCCAGTTTTTTCTATAACAGACTGAAGAAAACCATGTAAAACGAAAGTTACATTACAAAATTCCATAGTCATGATTAAAAATGCATACTCGCTGAATTTAGGTCAAACACATAAGAAATTAACTAACTACTCAAATTATTAACTTAAAAAAAGGATCTTAAAAAATAAAGATGATTTAAATAATAAAGACAATGATTAATTTTCAGGTTCAAAAACTAGTCAGTTAATTACCTAACCTCAAATTCTACTATCTTATCAACTCATAAATAAATGTGGTTAATTTACACAAGAACTTACTGAATAAGCAGTCACAGACAACAGAAAACAAGGGGTCATCATCCTGTTAGGGGTTTGAGCAGCAAGCTAACAGATCCTCAGCAAAACAAACCAGCATGTTACAAAATGTTATGCAATAGAGCAACAGAGTTTACCACAGTCAGGATCTTGTGAACACAGTTATGAACCATCAGGTCTCGTAAAACGTAATTTTTTGACAAGCTGAGAAACTATTAGCTTCTTAAGAATGACTTTAATCCATGGAGATAGTTGGTATAAAGAACAAAAACATATTCAGCCTTTAAGTTTTATTAACTCTGTGATGATGGTAACACCATGAAATCCCTGTTTTATTATTCTCTAGGGCATAATTTGAACACTAAAGATAAGAAAGTCATAAAGTGAGGAACTCTAAAACCAAAAAAAATAACACTAAATAAGACAAAACCATAATATGCTGGACATTATATACGGATGTCATAGTTAGGTACTTACAGGTTTTCTATTCTTATTTGTAACAGGCTCAGCCAGCTGTGCTGCAGAGACTCCGATTTTCTCCGTCTCCGTGCTGTAAAAGCTATGTGACCCACGGAAGTGAGGATCTGATGACCAGGCAGACCTAATGAAAACATAAATCATCATGTATGACGTGAAGCTTTCACAGCGACTGAAGTTGATGAAAGATTCTTCTGCAGAAGATATAGTTTGTTCACCATTCAGAAACCTGAAGCGGCTTGTAGCCCAAGAATCTTTTATCATAAATCATCATGTAATTATGCATGATCCTTGCTAGACCACAATGCCATTTCAATATTAAATTCTTCTCCAAATTCAACTACACCAGAAATTTTGTGTAAAATTTAATATTTGAATCCATGAAGAAGAGTCCTTAAGAAGATTATAATCACTCGGCTGATCAATTAATTCCGTGTTTTACGGACCCGAAGGATCCACACCCCATTCATAAAAGTCCACCACTAGAACCTGTCTTAAGTCAGTCAAAATCAATCAACAACTTCACATCGTATTTCTTTATGATCTGTTTTAATATTAGTAAATCATAAAGAGGCTTGTCATTAGTTCTGATAATTATTAACCAGACATAATTTGTGTTTCTATGATACTTGAGTGCTTTAGACTATAATTATGAATATAAAATGCAACTTTGTACCTCAGAAACAGATCAGGAGCGGGCACAGTTACATTGAAGGTTTTACCAATAAATCTGTCAAGAAGCTGAACAACCTTATGCTTCACTTCTTCATCAGACAACTGTTCCATGTAACGAGCAGCAGGGCCAGAGAGCCAACCACAAAGAATAAGTGGCAGGTTGTCCACTTCTGAAAATTTATTCAAGGCCCTATCCCAGCAGTCTTCTTGCTTAACCTGAAACATCACATATTCTACGATACTTCATTTAAGTTAAAAATTCTAAATTTAATTTAAAGTTATTATTTTTATTCTTCCTTTCAAGAAGCATATTTTTTAAAAGTTGGCAATGTTTTGGCACAAGAAATTCAATATTTTATAAAACTTTAAAAAAATCTTTGTTCTTGCCTTTCTACATATGCTGTATCAACTACAATGCTCATTAGAATTTCTAAAATTGTTTTGATGTATATGATTATCTTAGGTCATTAAAGACATGCACTTGTTCAGTCAGTTTATCATTTAACAAGTTCTGCTATGTATATTAAACAATTTTCTATGATTTTCTCCATTGTAGTATTGTCACTCACCGAATTTAGATTGCAAGCATCATCATGGGGCCACAAAAAACCAAAGTTAGTGTAATTGTCAGGCCACCACCGATGTGGGAACTTCAAAAATATTTTGTCAACAACTCCAAATCCCAAACCCTGAAAATGAAAGGATACCATTAAACACAAGCAAGTTAATTTAAAAAAAATTGGGATGAGGCACAAACATAGGGTACATTCCATAGTCAAAAACAAGTAGAAATGCAGCATAATGTATAGAATCACTAACACAATGTATGGCTGCCCAAACTGTGCATATCACCCTGTTCCTACTAATATATGCTACTTCATTTTTCTGATGCTTTAGTCCCATTACTTCAATACATACTACTTCATACAGTTAGTTATTTTAAACTTCCTTACACAATTTAATATCTTCTTCTATTTCCGGTTTAAGAATGTTTATACATTTTCCGGTACCTTTTTATGGGTCCCAACTTTCTGTTGGCTTGATCTATGAACATTCGGTAGGACTCCTTGGACGAGGGACTGGCCCGTCGCAAGGCCTCTACCTGTACGCAGAACAGCACAACACAGAAAAACGCAAACATGAACATGAACAAACAACCATGGCTAGAGTGGGATTCGAACCCACGGTCCCAGCGACCAAGCAGCACAAAGCTCATGCCTCAGGCTATGCGGTCACTATGGATCCCACAATTTAATATATCTTCTATAATACACTTCCAAGTTCTTTTTATAATTATGTAGCACTTGTATGTGCGCTACTTGGTGGTGCACTGACAGGAAACAAAATGGTGTACTACTATTACCATATACTGTTCAATAAGACAACATTCCACTCTAACCTCAAACGGTATGCCAACAGGTTAATGACATTTCATTGGTTTGGAATTAAACTTTCAAAAGATATCATATATTTGTTTGGAACATATGTATTTTTAAAATTGTCTGTTACAACATATTGCAGTTAATTAATTTCCAAGAGAAGATCAAGATATATTTACTTCATGTACTTACTTTAATTGCATTAAGTTTAGTGGATGGCAGCACTGGTTGAAACATGGTCTGAGCCTTTTCTTTCATCACACCAAGGCTTACTGTGACAAGAACAAAATCTGCCAGGTAAGATATTCCATCTGAACATTCCACAATAACTTTGTTCATATATTCTTCGGGTAAATTGTCCCACTTGATTTTTGCAACTTCATTGTGATAATGTATTTTATATTTCACAGGCAGCTCTTCTTTAGGATCTGGGATACTTTGCTGAAAATGACAAATAATGTTTCAGAATTTAACCAGTCTGAAAATGAGAAACTTTTTCAAAGTGAAACAAAAATATATAAGAAATTATAAACCTGTATCCACACTCTTATCATAGGAGAACTAAAGAAAACATCCGCATTAAGATTATTTGCAAAAAGTGTTAGAATGGGAGGTGGGTGCAAACAACTCACAATTTTGTTCATTGGAAAGTTCTGTATAAGTGGTACTGAATCTTCAGCCAATGTTACCTCCATATTAGTTGGCTGGTTAAATAGGACAAGATTACTGCAATATATCAATTTTTAGTTTATCAACAGGCCCAGCCTTAGGAAAAATATATGCTGGGGTAATTAGGCATCAATAACATAAATGCTATGAGATGACTGGAAAAGAAATATGAATTTAGCACTCATGATAACAATCCCAGACTTTGCTTGAGGGACTAAGGGAGACCCGAGTTAATATAGCAAATATCCTTCTGAATGTGAAGCCATCATGGTTTTGAGACCCCAAACATGATGGGAAATTACATGACATTTTAATTAAAAATATGACATAAGGTACAGTGTGTCACATATGAGGAATAGACACAGTTAAAAATTAAACATACACACACAAACAGCTTGCTTAGATAAAAAATGAAAGTATAAATAATTTGCCACAAAATTCCAAAGTTGGTTTGGTGCTCACTTCCCTAGGGTAGGTCCCATTTATGGGAACACACTTTATGAGCCACAGATGATGCAGCTGTATCATGTTCTAATAAAATGTTGAATATTTTAAGATTTGGGCAAGCAAAAATACAGCTTATCAAGACAGTTTTCCAAGAAGTCATGCCATGCTACAAGGATAGTAAAAATTGACTGTTTAATTTACAGTCAATGATTCATTCTTTTATTTGATTCCTGCAATAAAATCAGTAAAATTTTAGTCAATATTCAAAACATGAATATATGCTACAAATGTCATGAAGCAGGTATGTTCAACAGAAAATAGAATATAAAAAATGGTCACAGATGAAGAAAAATCCTTGGAAGTTTTTTTTTCTTCATGAGTTTTATTATTATTAGTGTTCTGTCTGACGACAGGTCCATATGAACAGGATCCTTCCATCCTATTCTCAGACTGGGACCTGTTCATATACGTTCTTGGCAGATGATCCAGAAGTGGTTTGCCATTGCCTTCTTCTGTGTGTATGGAGAATGGAGTAATTGTTGGGATGCCAAGGAGAAACCGGGGAAGCCCCCAGAGGAAAACTCCGTGTTGCCTAGACCACGGCCTTGCCCAACACAAGTTATAAATTCGGGCACCGCCGGGAATCGAACCCGAGACCCCAGGATTACAAGGCCAGCGTTCTGACCGCTAGACCACCATGGCCTCTTCATGAGTACCACAATATAATCTCAAGAATGAATTAATGAGAATCTCACCATCAAAAGATCAAAGACAGTGGCATATCCTCCAAACTTCCAAGACCACAGCTGACTTTTCTCACACTCTAAATATTCTGTTTCACCACAGCTTGAAGTTTCAAACCAGGAATTTGGACTGTCTTCATTCCGAAACCTGTGGTACCACTGTAAGAGGGGTCTGGCCAAAGAGAAATTACTCAGGGAATGTTCATCCATCTTTCTTCTGTATCTGTGAGTAGTAAAAAATAACTGATAATGGAATACACTCTAGAGGTATGTACCACCAGTACCAAAATCGATCACTAGACATGATTTGTCTTTGCCAGTTCCACTGACCTCTATCTTCACTGCCTGTCCTCCTAAAGTCAAACTTATCTTAATGTTATCCTCCCATCCCCTTCACATTCTTTAAAAGAGTAACTTTCACAGACACCTCAGACAGGAACACATACAAAAGACATTTAATAGAAATCAAATTGTTTATTTTGAACAACATTCCAGTTAACTTTTCTTCTGACAGCAAATTAGAAATACAGGATATATCAATGTTGAATGCATAACTATAATATACATAAAATTAAGATGGATACTCACTGTTGATTGAAATATTCTCCAAGAGATCCTGAATAGTTATGTATGTCTCTAGCCATTGAATCTCTAATATCGTTCAACAGATGATACACTTTTGAAGCCACATTTCTGTTTACCAGATTTCCAGAGGGGTCGATAAAAATTATGTCAGGTTTACTTTCTTCATAATTGGTCAGAAGCTGCAACTGACCGGCCATATTGAATACTATATTGCTTTTCACACCATGGACAAAATGACTTCCAAGATCAATGAAATCTTCACCTGCACAGAGTTGAAAGTATGGAACACAGCCGATGCAGTGAGCCCATTCAGTTGCAGATAAATACACAGTTTATAAATACATACTTTCATGTTCTTCAATGTGAAGTAAAGGTGATAAGAAACAGTGGGCAGGAAAAGATTTTAAACATGCTGTGGCCTATAAATATTTGTAGATAAATACAGACATTTATACAGAGAATAAAAAATAGGAAGAAAAATATAATTCCAGACAGCTGGGAGATTCTCAGATACCTCCTGATTAAAAGTCACTATGTCAACTTGCTCAGTACCACCGAAACTTAAAATGAATCTGAATGAAGGGTTTCAAGAACAAAGTGCTAGGAGAATATTTAGACCTAAAAGAGGAGAAGTAACGGAAGGTCTAAAAAATCAGATCTACAAGGACGGGATGGGTGGGACATACATCATACATAGGAGAGATGAAACATGCAAAACTTAGAATGCCTGAAGGTAAGACCACTTATGTAAGCATAGATTATATAATAATATTAAAATAGATCCTATAATAAAGAGGGTATGAGGGTACAGAATAGATTCATCTGGCTAATGTGGGATTCAGTGTGTCTGTTGTAAATATGGTAATGCACACGTTTTCCATAAAAGTCATTGAATTTCTTAAAATACTGTGTATTTCAATCCTACTCCTTAAAACCACTTTTAATAGTATCTTCCCATCCACATTTAAATCTTCCAAATGGTCTCTTCCCTTCAGGTTTTCCAACCATAATACTATATTCATTTCTAATTTTATCAATGTGTGCTATATGTTCCACCCATTTAATCCTCCTACATTTGATAATTCTAACAATACTTGTTGAAGAATACAAATTATGGCACTCTGCATATACTATTTTCTCCAGCCTCCTATCACTTCCTTCCTGTTAGATGAGTTATTTTGCTGCTGTATTAATTTTAAAACACTCACACATTACCACATGGTTAACATACCAAATCTGACAGTTTTAATCCGACCACCGTAATAATACGTTGCTTCCAGAATAACAAAGTCATCAATTTTGTTTTCCAACAGCCGCGAGGCAGCAGCAATTCCAGAGGCACCAGCGCCAATAATCACAATTTGTACATCTTGCAATCTGATAAAATTAACACAATATTAAAATCAAACAAAATGTAACTGTGAGATTACTGTTGGGGAACATACGGACCTCGTAAAAATTATAAAAAAATTAGACTGTGCATAATGAACTGTTTTAACAAATATGTTTCAACTGACAAATTTCTAGCCATAGACGTACTGTCATCAGATTTCTGCATGGGTCTGCACTGCCAAACTCACGGCTTCTCTCCTGAGTAACGAGAAGTACAATATATGTCAAATGTTTCAAAGGGACCCAGCAAAGAAGACCACAAAATTCAAATTCAGATTTATATTTTGCTACACTTAGTTAAAAAAACTGACAGTGGAACCACGGTTCCGGAGAATTTGACGTAAATACGTCTACACCGAAAGGAAGTTTATATATTGGCTTTATTCTAAATATTTCCTTTATACATGCTTTACAATTGAGTAAAGTTTGATTAAGACTTTGCTTATTTAACTTGAATTAGTTACGCTTAAGATGGGTCTGTGGTAGATGAATGTAATGTAATGTAAGGTAAAGTAATGTAATGAAATGTTTTATAGGTAACAACAATGCCGAGTAAACAGATGACGTTTTCTAGGTAACAATAATGACGAGTAAACACGACGTTTCCTAGGTAACAATAATGACGAGTAAACACGACGTTTCCTAGGTAACAATAATGACGAGTAAACACGACGTTTCCTAGGTAACCAGGTTACACTTTTTCGTTTCCCTTTTTTGCCGAATGACCTTTCCTTATAGACGTATTTACATCAAAATAAAGTGTAATAACTTTCTGAGAAATACATGCCAGTTTGGCGCCCTGCTCGCCGAACCCTGAGGCTAACCCTAACTTGGTATACTGCATGGGTGCCACGTTCCTACAGCTTAAAAAGTTGGATGAAGTTTTTGGCATTATATTTTCTTCTGATTTACAAGAGCAGAACATAAAAACTGATAAAAGTTTCATGCTCATGAGCATGAAACTCAACAGCTGAAACATACTCACTTGTGTAGCTTCAATGCTGCAAGTTATGATTAATAGGAAAGTACATTCTGAGAATACAATACCTGGTAAGGGTATCAGACCAGAACAAAAGGATGTGACTCAAGTTAATGGAGGAAATGGAACTTGTACAGGAAGTTGAAGATTGTGAAACACATTATCACACAACATACGAGGTGCGATCGGAAAGTTTCAAGACTGCGCCTATAAAAACCCGTACACTTATCTCAGGTATTAAATTCATCCATCACCCTCGAAGTAGTTCCCCTGGGAGTGAACACAACGATCCCAGCGCCGCTGCCAAGCCTGGAAGCATCCCTGGAAATCTTTCTTTGTCAGCCTGTCAAGCACCATCTGCGATTCTGCCTGAATCTCTTCTATCGTCTCAAATCTCCTTCCCTTTAGCTGAATTGTCATCTGTGGGAAGAGGAAGAAGTCACACGGAGCTAAATCCGACGAATAAGGAGGGTGCGGGATGACGGCCATAGTGTTTGAGGCCAAAAACTGCCGAACTTTGAGGGCGGTGTGCGCTGGCGCGTTGTCATGATGCGTCGCATGGGGAGTTCTTCGTTTAGAATCAGCTGACAGGTCCCATAGCCTACCCCAACAATGTCGCACAAGTCGTTGAGGGTACGACGTCGATCTTCGTGAATGGCCTGCCGAATCTTCGTAACATTTTCGGGCGTTGTGCTCGAAGATGGTCGTCCAGAACGCTCGTCATCATCGACAGAGGTTCGGCCATTTTTAAAACGTGAATGCCACACAAAAGTTTGTGCACGACCCATTGCGGACTCCCCAAATGCTTGCTTTAGCATTTCACAGGTTTCCGTAGCCGTTTTGGCGAGTCTTTGGCAAAATTTGATGCACACGCCATTCCGAAAGCGCAGGAGGGTCGGTGTAATGCACTACCAAAACACCCGTAACTAAGAAACAAATGCTAATTCGATGATGCCGGCTGGCACACTGATTCACTATGAATGTAGGCCGCACCCCCTAGCGGCAGAAGCTCGTACTACATCCGGTTCTCCCTCTATTGAGACAGTCTTGAAACTTTCCGATCGCACCTCGTACATAAAACTCATTCAAGTCTCGTAAGTAAAACACAAAACAAAACTTTAAAATAGTAAGTTTCATTGAAAATATCTTAACTGATTGTTAATAATTACTGACTCAAGGAAATGTAAAAAAACAACG